TCTGCTTTAAGATCTCAGTTGTTTGAGGTGGGCTAGTAAGTTTTTCTGCAACTTCAATTTTCCCTGAATCACATCTTGCATTCTACAGCAGAGAAATATGGTCCATTTAGTTGCTGCTGCATTCAGTACTTGTAGCTGTAATCTTAGTTTTACTATGACCTCTTTTGCTTTAATACTTTAGCTGACTTGTATAATTATCATATTCTGCATTTGCATTTCCTCCATTCTATTTTTGTTTTCATTTTGCTAGCTTCAGCTCCTCTTAGCAGTTGCCTACTTGAAAAGTGACCTACAGCTAGACACTTCACATTTCTACTCCCAGAGTCCGTTTAGACCAAAGGCCTGTGACTAGGATCATTTGAATTAAAAGTGCATGATCTTAAGGCATGCTGGGCTACCCAGAAGAGCAAATAAGAGTTTCTATCTAGGGAGATTAGACATTAAGTGACATTACATTCAATTGATTTTACTTGTCCTTAAGTGATACTTTTCAAACCAGTAAGCCATTTATCATGTATTCATTCTTATATATTAGGCACTGGTAGCTATAGATGTCTCTTTTTCGGGCTTTATGGTTGATGACTACATCAAACAAAACTTCTGAAGGTTTAAGCATTTGCCTATATTTCCCATTAAAATGTTTCTTAAAATTGTCATTTTCTAGATAGTCATAAAATTAAAGAAACTCACCCTAAAACAATAAAAAACAAAAGTGACCCAACACTACCCCCTCCAGCCCCTGAAAAATTTATGACAATTATTTCTTTAACAATTTGCAAAGCTCTCATATGACACTATACTGTATGGCTGTGAACTTCAAATGAGACAGTATTTCTCATGCAATATAGTGCTCATCCTGAGGATTTCAATTGGGTGATCAGTTCAGAAACATACAGTTTTAACTCTGTAAGTATTCTGGTTTTAGTACTGCTTTGTTTTGATAAAATGGTTAATCAAACTGAGGAGTGCTTCACTTTTCACTGATTTTAAGATCCTGCAAGTTTATAACTTTTGACAGCTAGATGTCAAATGCTGTTCAAAGGCATCACAGCACCTCATGGGATTCTAAATTTAGGCTAGCTCTACCCAACCTGTGTTCTTCTTTTAGTGCTTTAATTTCTAATCATGATGTTTGACTGTGCAAGCTGTCTGAATATTTTGATGACAAAAATAGTCATAAAAAAAATTCATTATCATTACAATCAGTAGTACTAATACATGAAACAAAACACATGTTTATGAATCAAGGAGACAATTTTATGGAGACATAATTTTAAGAGAACTTTGATAGTTTGCTCTAAAGTATATAATTGTTATAGATCAGGTAGCTGAATCACCTACTATAGCACTGACTTTTCTTCCACTATGAACTAAACCTGAATATTGCCTATGTGATGATGCAATGATTTTTATTGTGTTGCTGGACATCTGCGAAGGCACTCTTTTATTTGGGTCTGTTTAGTACGATTCTTACAAACATATATTAGTGGTAAATTTAGCAAATATGTAAAATAACATTATTATTAAAAAAACTATTAATATATTTCTATCACTAGTTATGAACTTTGTCTTATAAATATATAATCCATTCCACTGATGATTTTAATTACTTTTGCAGTTAGGCATTTGAAAAATTGGACTATTTATTTGCAAAGGTGAGGTGACTTTGAGCCAGAGCTGTTTTCCTCAGCCTCTCCTGATATATGATGTCAACCTGAACGATGAATGCATATATTTACTAAGTTCCTAGACAATGCCACCTTTTGAAGGCGAAAAACATATCAGAAGACAGGATTAGAACAAATTATTAGGAGATTAGTGGAAGCAATCTGGCATGCATAAATGCAAGTTCTCTATTTGTCAATAGACAGTGTCTTCAAAACAGGTTTTTGATCACAATATTGTGCTTCTGACAAAGGCAAACACTGTGGGATATAGGAAAAGCAAAGTAATCAATCAATTCACTCTATGTGGCACTCACAAGATTTCAGCTGCAGGCTGTGTCCGATTTAAGCAAAAGACCAATTGGAGAAAATCCAACAAATGCAATAAGAATAATAAGTAACCTGCAAACATTAAACATAAGAATGGTTTGATGGAACTGGATCTGTTTAATCTACGAAGAAGAGATGCAGTATAAAGCTTTATATGCACAGCAATTACCTGGGGAAAAAAAAAAAAAAAGAAAAAGAAAAATAAGCTGGGTTTACTGTCAACACAAGAAAAACGAAAACCAAAGGTCTCTGGTTGGACGGGGAAGACAACTGGGATTTTAAAGCACTGAAATAGGTGGCCCGGGTAGGCTATGGAATAATTGCTCCCAACTAACATGCCGGAGATTTCAAAGTAAAACTAATGAAGAAAATTATATTTTTTCTTGGTATTCAGTGAAGTGGAAATAACACTAAAAATGACACTGTTATAGTATGTTCTGACAGTAGAACACGATGCAAGTGTGTGTGTTTAGGTTTCTTTCCACTCAGAAATAGAGGACAGAAGCTTCACAAGTTTTCCACTGTGACTCCAGAGATTTGGAGTCTCCACCTAGCAATTCTGAAGCAGAAGCATTCATAACAAACGAAAAGACCATATAAATCTGTAGCCAGAAAGTAAAGTACAAAAGATGTTCTTTCGGTATTTCTTGTGAATAGATAGATATCGACAGAATAGTCAAGCTGGACTGCAGTGACTAAATCGTTATGTTTATGGGGTTTTCTACTTCTCTTTTTTATAGCCTTTATCCTGTATGATGCCCATCAAGAGCCTTTGTACATACATGTAATAACTATTTTTTTCTACAGATTCAGTAGTATGATATAGCTAGAGAACATGAAAAAAAATCCCAAATGGCATTTAAAAAACCCTACACCTTTTTCTTACATCTAAAAATAAATAGTCAAATACCTGATTAACTTCAGTTTTTCAAGAGCAATTTTGCAACAGTATCTTAATTATGCATTCATGAACTGCAGATTTTATTTCTGTCCTATAAGCCAACCCTTTACAGGTTGCTGATTTTAATTTATATTCCTTTAAGACAAGGCTAGGTGATATTTGTTACAGTGTATATATACACGTGTATATGTGTTAGGGTATATATATACACACAGAAAGCGTATTTGCTTAAACATCTATATAGGTTTTATACATACATTTAAGCTCAGGACATTAACATAGGATCAATTTATATTGAAGAATTAATTTTTTGAGCATTTGAACATATCCTGCAAACATGAAGTATATGAAAGCAAATGTTAGTTCCACATACTCAGCTCACTGGCCCAAGAAATGTCTTGACTCCCCCAGCAAATATTTGATCTTTAAATTTACTGAATCTTGCTCACCAAAGGGGGAGAATAGAGTGCCAGAAGAGTTAAGTTTGTCTCAGTGAGCAGTTGGATCTACAGTTATGAGTTACAAGGAAATGGATGGTCACTGATGAAGGAGACTAGAGGGAAATAGATTATTGGCATAATGGTGTCATATTAAATGTATCCCCTTAGTCAAAGGAGAGCAATATAGTAAAAACAGTTTAACAGATACCTGAGAAAGCTGTTTGTCTGCAAAAGGTGAAGAGAGGCAAGGTCATAAGACATATTAGCCATCTACCTAGTATGGAGCTGAATGATTCAAACAAAATTTCCTCAGCAGCCTTCCAATCCCACCTGAAGGATTTTTGTTGCTGTTCTCTGTTTCTTCAGTTCACAGTGCACTTGCATTTTACACAGTTTCCTTTAAAGTAGTCATCAGCCAGTTAGTTCTGACTCATGGCACAACCTTACAAGACTAAGATTTGGTTGTCTGAATTCTTCTTTGCTCTCTGCTGGGAAATTATTGTACAAACTTAACACTAAAGGTAACTTAGGAATGCTAGTGCTTGTACAGACCTGTTAACAACAATAAGGAACAGCAAACATGTCTTTGTAGTAGATAGAAACACTCACTGGAGAAAAATAGTATTATTACCTAAAGCTATAAACCCCAAACTTTTTACTGGTGGATATCTGAAGGCAAGGGAGAGGAAACAGGATTTAGATTTCTTCACAGCACACTCCTCTTCCAACTTGCAAATGGAAGCAGAAAAGGCAAAGTTCCATTCTAAGGATCAAAAATGAATGCCTAATTGAAAAACTTACACCAAATTAAACTGAACTGTCCAAGAGCTCAGTGAGGTATACTGTTGTACTTTAAAATGTCTTAACAAAATGCAACCTAGAGAAAAGAAAATGCCGAAGTAAGGAAAAGAGGCAAATAATCAATAATCAGCTTCCTTTTTCCCCAAGTGCAAAAATAAGGATGCTGCAGTTCTTTCCTTTTGCTGGGGTAACAAATTAAGCTTGTAAAGTCTGAAGTTTTATGCTGTTTTTTAGTCAGACCACAAACAAGGTGCAATTGACTTGCCAGTGCATATTCCCCACCAGCTCCTTTTCCAGATCTAAAGTGATCTCTCCTCTTCAGCAGGAGTATCAGAGCATCCCACATCCCATATAAGGCTTTGATGTTCAAGAAAGAATTATTAAATAGAGCTAACTGATTTAAACTTTATAAGGAGGCATGTCACCTTTTAGTATCAGCTAACGATTTCAGTATTTGTCAGGAATTTTTAGCTGGCTTTTACTTGAGTACCTGCTAAATTCTCCCTCCACGATGCAGGAAATGGTATTTTATACCTTAGCTGATGGGAATATTATTAGATAAGACGTCACAAATATTCTATCTTGTAAATGGCAGCAGTTTCTGTACATAGACTGTGTCCTTGTGTGCTTTCTACTAAGTACTACAAGATAATGATTGCTGAAGAATCAAAGAGCATGTGAAACAACTATTCAAAATAACATTCTTGCTGTCTTTCACTAGTGAAATACAAAGACATTTGTCTATTTGTAGTCTCTCAGGCCTTCTGAGTAACAGGTTTTGTATTTTCTTGAGATGTAAACATAAATTATACTTGGCTGTTATACAATGAATTGACTAAATAATAATAAGACACTACAGGTCACTTGTGTAATTTCCACAGGCAGTTGTCTGAAAAAATTGCCATCATTTTGGGCTGTAAATAAAACAGAAAGGTATGAAAAATTATGAAGGAATTAGAACTATGAATGGCTGGAGAGTCAAACATCTTTCTATAAGAGTATGTGAATTGACATAAATTGCCTTATACATGATGATATTCCCATTATAGTTATTCAGGAAGGGTAGACCCATAGACTCTATTTTCATGCCAAAGATGTAACTGTTAGAAACCTTAGATAATATGAGGGCATTGATGGACATTCTCAGAACAGGCTTATACATTACCATAGGCTTTTTCTTCCAGATATTTTGTAGCCTTTTCATGCAGCAACAATAGTTTATTTTCCATTTATAAATGCAACTGCCTCCTTAATATTAGGTAGTAGGAAATAAAGGCACAGGCATAGAAATTAAGGCATAAGAAAGGCATAGGAAACAAAATGAGCCATTTCAGGTCCAGTCTATAAAGGGACAAGACAGAAAAATGGTAAGTACATGATATTTTCTATTTCATAGGCTTACACCACTAAGACTGTTTGCATCAGTCAAAATGTTAAACACCATGTAAGATAATAGTCTGTTTCCCAAACAGGAAAAAAAGCAAACATAAGGAAATATATGTTCTTTCTACAACTGTAATACAAGTCGGAGCGAGTAGCAAATACCTCTTCTTCAGTTCCCAGACGTATGCTTAGCTCACTGGATTAGACCTCCTGACTGCACAGAGGACAAGACAATCCTTTCAAGAAAACACATTAAGAACATGCTTTTAGTAGGCACTGTTGCTCCTGAAAGAAAAAAGAACAACAAAAAAACCCTAAAAAAATTAAGGCTCACAAGCAGTTTCAGACCACTGATGATCACCAAGCAATAAACATCATGTTCAAACATCCGGCAACCTTAAGCACTTTCCAGTGAGTTGGGTAAAACCTTATTCAAGGTCACTGATGTGATGGGATTTGTCATTCTTGACCTGTCACCAGTATAGGTCAAGTCAGTATAGAATAGTTTGGTACTTAGCTTTGGGCTTCTTTTAATCCATTATTATTGTGAACAGGAAAAAAACCCAACAACCCCTTTTCTGTGTTATCTAGAAAAAAGGAGCTCAGTAAGAAAAACAGAAATTAAGTTCACCTTTAAAATGCTTTTGGGTAGTGGAAACTTTGATTCAAAGTGACAATTCTAATAATATTTTCCCATTTTATTTTGAGTTTTCTTCAGGCTGTGAAAAAACAAATTAAAAAGGAACATAAAATTATTTGAGTGGATGGAAGATAAACTGTTAAATAAAAAGACACAGAGCAGAGATTATAACCCACAAACCAAGCAAAAATATGAAATTAATTAAATTTAGGTAAATTTAGTATTTAGTAACAGCAACTAAACCTGGTTAACTTTTTGTGTCACAGATTTTAAAGCTGTTGTTAACCACATTTATAGTTAAAATACTGTTATACAGGAACTGACCAGTATTTTCAGAGACAAGGATCAAAGCAAATAACATGCTAATAATTTTAAAGTTTGCCCAATTACCACATCATTTCCATTACGTATTATGCAATATTTATATAATGCACATCAAATGAATAGAGTCAGAGTATTAAGCATGTTCAGAAAATAGTGTCTCATCTTGGTATAGAAATTTGGTGTGATGATAACAAACAAAATGTTACCTTTTATGTACTACAAGTCAGACAGAGATACTATCTTTCCTTGGAAAGTAAATTTGCACAGTAGCCATGGAGTCAAAATAACACTGGCTGAGTTATTTTATCTAAGGAATAATTTCTTTCAGGAAACAACTAAGTAGCATATATTTCTTATTAAAAAAAAAAAAAAGAAAAAAAAAGAGAGCAATCTAATTTGACATCCTTTTATAATTCAAGTTGAATGCCCAAAGGAAAAAAATAAAGACATATTTCTCAATATACAGATGTATTTTCATAGAACAACATGTGTTCAGTAGAAGTTAGAAATAAGCTCTCAAGGAGTAGGAAATTCATGGTTCCATTAGTCGAAGTGCTAGCTCTGTTGATTACTTTCAAACCTGATTTAAATGATTTATTATCCAATCTCCATATTTTATTATTTTGGCTTGCACATCTTTCAGTCACATTACTGACCATAATTCCCTGCAGTCATTCAAATAATAAAATAAGTCTGTTAGTTTGATTTCCTTCATAGATCATTTAATACTCATCACACCTGGATAACAGAAATTACTTAGGTTGTAAAAGTGGAAGAAAAAAGCCTACAGCTCTGTTGAGAACTGAATTTTTCAGATATTAACAGTGCCTTATTATATCTCTATTATGACAACTGACTCATTTGACTTCAGATCATCTGCAGAAAATGAGCTTATGGCTCAACTAAAGAGCAAGAATTCTATATCGTATACATAAATTATAATACTAGCTGGTCATAACGTGCTTTCTTTATGTAGGTCTGATTTCATGACAGTAACTTGATTAACATATGAATAACAAAGAAAAAGTATTCCATAAGGTTGAAAGAGCAGAATGAAATCCTACTTCCAAAGAATTTAATGATGCCAGGATATAATCCCTGTCTTGATTTTCTAAAGCAACCTCTTAAAAAATATGTAAGGTATTTAGGCCTGATGGAATGCTGGACCTGTTATATGTATACAAAAGCCTATTCAATACCTTGAAAAGATGTAGCTATGTTAGATTCAGACTATGAATCCATTTTATAAGAATGAAAATGTTTGATGTTAAGAAAAGTTTTGTACTTAACATTCCTACTTAGACAATGATATATAGCAAGATAATAAAATGTACAGAAATAAAGGAGACAACAGTGGAGATATTGTGCAGGAAAAGATAATGTAAATCTAATGGTGGAAGGCTGAACCTTGAAGTAAGTTCAGAAAAAAAACCCTGAAATAATAGCATATATTGGTGGACATCAATTTAAATACTTTTTAAAAATGTTTTTTAAATGCTGACTTTCTTCTTGGTGACTTTCTAATATTTGAACAAACATTAGTTATGTTATTATCCATATATCTTTAAAAAATAAGGTAAAACAAAGCACATCATCCAAGAATATAAGGATACAGCTCTTGCATTAGTGGTCATAGATGTCTATTTCTGAAAAATAATTTTCAGAAGTTCTTGTGTTTTCTCTTCACAAAGGGGATCCCACATAAATACAAGAAATGTGCCTATCAATTTCTATATAAAACATTTTTCTGGGCTATGATTTGGTATGGGCTATGATTTTGATATGAAGTATTTTAGTAAATTAAGTTTCAGAATATACTTGTAATTATAGTGTTAAGCATGTATATATACATGTATATACTGAGAAAACAACAAATTTAAGTATTTTTTCTTACATGTCTGTAATAATAAGATCTGAGATTTGCCTTTTTAAATTTTTATATGCCTATCCTTTGACTGAATTTGTCAATGAGGTTTACAAAGTAAGTTAGAGAAGTTATGTGTATACATTCAGATTATATATTTGCTAAACACATTTCAAACCAATAATGTTTTGAGGACATAGTTTACATCTGGACTACTTCTCTATTACAATGATACATCATTATCTTAGTAATTTTGCCTCTTGCCGTAAAATGTGCTGATAAAGACAACTGGAAACACAAGTAGTATAGATTGAAAAAGTATCAACATGAACCATCATTAGCTGTCGTTGAAATGCTGACAAAAAAACTTCAACAAAGCACAGCAAGCACATGGAAGAGCCAGGAATCCCTGGCCTTAGGAATCCCTCTGCAATATCTTTACTACAAAATCATTCCTGATAACTAACATGGTGCATGACTTAAAAGGGCATTTAACTTTTTATATGCCTATTGTTTGTTCTTAAAGATGAATATGGACAAAGATTCTAATAGTATGATCACTCTGAGTTAGCAACATTTATAAGGGTATCTTGACTACCACTGACCGTGAACTGAATCATCATGCTGTGATTATATTCCAAAGCCTGTGGGGTTTTTTGAGAATATTGATGATCCAGAGGACAAAAAAAAAAAAAAAGAAAGAAAAAAAAAAAGGATTTAGGAGAGGCTGACATCAAACAGACAATTTTATCACATACTAAGAACAAAATAGAAGAAATCCCAGGGGTTCTCACGTCTGAGCTATACTTCAAGTGGAAATTTTTCATTTCATACTAGCCAGAAATGCAGGTAGCAGCACATGATCTTATTCTTTACTGTATGCTTGAAATAGTAGAAAGATTTTCAGACACTAGAAGGATGAAAAGGAAGGGTAATAGCCTCATTTTTTTATTCAGTATCATGTTCAGTATTTTCAGTACACACAACAACAGATTTCTGCAGAAAAAAAGGGATCTAACTGTTTTACAACTATGGAAATATTCCCTTTGCCCAAGTGGATCCTTTCTTTTGTCATCTTCAGTGAAAAAACCTGAGCTGCATGTAATTGTAATTTATCTGGGAGTAAAGATACCTTTTCACTTTCATACATATACTTCCTGAAGCCTTTATTATAGCTCACTGTGTTTGTCTGCTTTAGAGAAACTACCTGGAAACAATGGAAAGCACTGATAAGTTATAAATCATACCAGCTGACAAGAATGATTGGCGATGCAGAACTTTTTCATCCTCAAGTGTTTAGACGAGAGTATGTCTAATGACAATGAGGAAACACCTCACAGTAAGCTTTTGCATACACCACACATTTCCTAATTTATAAAATACTGTAAGCACTAACAGTACTGAATATCTGAGATCTCAAAGAAATTAGGATTTAACACTATGCTTTGGATGCAGTAATATATTTAGCTTTGGCACTTTGTTGTAACTTGATATATGCATATAAATTGAGAGGCTAACAGTGTAAAAAATCCAAACACACCAACTTAGATATTGTTTTCAGATGCCAGCATTTCATCTACTAATATATTAAAGTGAACCAGAGTTGCTAGGACCAAATTGTACACAAGCATACCCTCAGGTTGAGGGTGAAGGAAAGCCTTCAGAATCAAGTTGAAGACTTAAATTATTCCCTTCACTTATTTGATCTATTTTTGAGAAAGTCATACAGAGGTGTAATGTAATCATTGCTAACCCTGAGTAATTAAGGCAGCAACAACAGCAGAACCTGCATTCTGTTGCTTCCAACTTGTCAGGACACTATTTAATTTCAAATTTCATTAGAGAAATCTATGTTCAACTGGATTAAGATTCAGTTAGACACACATATTTTGTCATTTATTATTTGGAAGGATACATCTCAATCAGGAATAACAATTTCTGTGGAGTCTTACAGTTTCTTAGTAAGAAAAGGCAGAAATCTTTGGCTCTCACTATAGTATTTTACCTTTCCCTGCACTGGCTCCTTTATACTGTAGTGCTTACCACAGCAGGCGTGGGCTTTAAAAGCCATACTACTAACCTGGAAAGTGAAGGATCATGAGCTTTCACATCAAGAACCCTGGACAATGCCATCATTTCTTAGGAAAAAAAAAAAAAGGTCAGTGCAAGAACTAAAGAAATTTACAATCTGTGGGTCCTTTTTGTGAGTCTGCTACAACCATCAGTGACAAATTAAATAATATGTGATGTATTAAATATTTATAATAAATTAGGAATTATACTTTAAGTACCTGAATAGCCAGGAAAATCCAGATTTCTGTATAGAACTTGAGAAACTTTGTTAGAAAAAAATCCTGGCCTGAGATCACACAGTTCCCAAGATCACTCCTACAGTGCTGATCACTGTGGACTTTATTCATTAACCCTGCTGAATCAAAACACTCAGTTTATACATCTCAGTTTAAAGGGGCATGATTTAAACCAATAGGCATGGATGTCTGGATTCACTGATTTTCTATCTAAGGATAAAAAAAACAATCTATAAGAAATCACTTACATCACTAGGGCCTAAGTATGTTTAATTGTTTACCAAAACGGATGAAAAAAACCAAATCCCAAGTAAACAAACTCCTGTTAACGTAGCCCAGGATGTGATTTAACATAGAAAAAGATGGAGACTTTTTTTGTGGGAACAAAAATTTCAGACTCTTCATTCATGTAGTTAGTGACACCTCATTAGTTGCTGAAAACTCATTAAGTTTACACTTTGGAATTAGCACAGCAAAACTAACATATCACTGTTAATTCTGAGGCCAGTAGAATAGGAGTATAAATAGATGAATGGTCATATGAAGAAATGCCATATCAAGTAGTGAATGTAAACCCAAATGTTATGATTGATATTGGGATAGGCAAGCTGATCATTTCTAAGAGACATTTTGGTAAACATGACACAAAATGTGGTTTCTAAGCAAGAGTAATTTCAGTTTTAATCCTTAGTTCCATATGTAACATCACTTTCTTGGAGATTAATACCTGGAAAAACTAACAAATGCTGGGTTTGATAGGTCTGATAGGAATCAGGAGTATTTATACATAACTGTGAGAAGTACACACATACTGCTTGAAATAGGTGCTCTCACTAACCTGTTTTTTTCCACTTTTATGTTCAAGTAGCCCTCGCCTCAACAACTGTACCACCTTCCCCTAAACAGAGCTCAGCTTAGCATAGTTATCCAAAATTTTCTGCTTTTTCTTTTGAAGTTATGGTCCAAGTACCTGAGAGAAATTACTTTGAAAGCAAAGCCACAATTTGTTATGAACCTAGAAAAAAACTAACTCTAAGTACCATTGTAGCTGATTCGCAAGAGAGGCTCTTCATGTTCAAGTATGCTCTTACTCTCCTCATAATCAACAAAGATAAGAAGGGGAAAATGGATGCTAATATTCAATAGTCAAAACAGGAAAATTAAGCCTCAAAGACTGAATCTTCTGGCTTTCTACACAGACTGAATGAAAGAAGAGATGATGGCCATTTATTTTTCCTTTGTTATAACAATAATATGCCTGAACTGGACCCCATTGGAACTGGACCCCACTGCATAAAAGGCTGCCTGATGAACATTCCATTTGCCATGTCAAATTGGTACAGCAATGGTGTCTTGTGTGAACCGTATTAGCAGCAACTGATGAACTTTCCCAGCTTCCCTGAGCAACTGCCCTTATCACCGGTGTAGTAAGACCTGTAAAACAAGCTGGAAGTAACTCTTTATTTTGTACCTATTGGTAAATTACGTGACATTTCTGCCAGAAAAAGCCTCACAAGCTGCCATACCAGCTGGAAATACTTCAGTTTAGTATAACAAGTGCAACACTGAAGAGCTTTTATATATATGACTAATTCAGTTTAGCTTCATTTCAAATTAATGCATTGGGACAGCCAATAATAAAGCTATTAAAAGAATGAAATGGCTGTGGAATTGTCAAAATTTCTCCCTTAGCCTGCATTGAGGAAGAGAATTTTAGCTACATGGGTTTCCAGTCAGTGGCAGAAACAGTCATACATTACATTCAAATGTGCATGAGGTTTTTGAGGAAGGGATTGGAGGAAAACTCTCACCCGCTGAACAGCATTATGCACGCATATGAAATTTACTTTAGTTAACATGACAAAAGCGATAGAACTGCAATTAGACAAAGAAGGCCCCCTATCAGGCAAAAGCCTGTCCAAACAGATGGGCTTTCCAATACACTTGAAGGTCAAGAGATTATGAATTTGCCGAGCATGTCAGTAATCACAATACTTTATAGTCGTCTTCTGCTACAGCTACTGGATCTAACCTGTACATAACTCAACAATTGAAAGGCAAGGTTCATAAGGCAGCTATCTAAACAAACTAAAAGAGAAAGTAGACCCTCTTATTTTTTCCTCAATTGGAGAAGTTTATTAGGGAGATTTATTTTCACTGTGGATTTTGTCTGTAATCACAGAAAACTCAACCTAGAAACTACAGGGAGAAAGTATTCCTCAAAGTTTCTTCTGTGGGACTTGCTTTGAAGTAAGGAAATTTACGAAGAGAGCGTTGTGGAAGAAACACAACTCTATCCCAGCCAAAATCAGGACACAGAGGTAGTCCATCTTAATTATCAAAGTCTTTTTCTCCGTATTTGGAAATTACTTATTATTTAGTCAAATGGGTCTTAAGTGTATTTATAGGCCAGTACCTAAGTGAAACTTAAATGCATATACAAAGTGCACCTCCACATGATATGGTTTAATGAATGCTTCAACTACATAGTCAAAGCAGGAAATTAGTATTTAACACAATTTGGATTAAAAGGTTGGATTTGGAATTCTGAATTTTAGTCTTTGGTCAGATTGAATGGGGTCATTTAACGAGCTACATGTGGTCAACGTCTTTTTAGAAATTTCACATGAAACAGTCTCATGAGAATAAATTCTCAAAGGTACACCAAGGCTGTGAATATTTAACCCCAAATAACCCTACCCTAATATTATAATTTCAATAAACAAAGCAAAACACTCTTTTTGTTGCACTGATACAAATCTCACATAGCACTATTTAACAAATAACATTACTCTAGTAAAAGTTTTCACAGAGGATGTAAAGTTCTTCAGGACTAAACATACAAAGGATATAAAAAAATTCTGCTATTCTCCAAATTGTAGTTTTTGATAAAACCTCATTCTTCATGTACCCTTTTTTAATCTGTATCTATCTTCCACTGAAGTTTCCTTGCTCCATTTGCTTTTTATTATCCCTGTCCCTTGAGCCTAAAAAGACTGCATTTAAACAAAATTACCTACAGAATGCAATACTTAAGTCTATTGTGCTCAGTGTTGATTTCTCGTTACTTATTCTATTCCTCTTGATTAATCTGTCTTTACTTTCAGCCCATCTTTCTCTCTTATCCTTCTTCACATGTTCTTCCTTTGTTTTTCAAGGAAAAACCCAGCCCAACCTCTCTGATAAGTTACCATCATCTAAGACTCAAATGAAGTTTGGAAGAAAATTCTAATTAACTGAGAACACTCTTTCAGGGAAATCTCTTACCCTGTTAATCAATCCCATCCTTTAAGCGTAGTTTGAAGAATGTAAAAGGGAACTATTTCTATTTCTTAGCTGTCTGAAAGTAGGCTCTGCTTCATATCTATTTCTTCTTTCAACATCTTTCTGCTTTTATTTTTTTGTCACAGGGAAACTTTGTATCTACCAAGCTTAACTGGGACACATGAAAGGACACACACACACACACACACAACATACTGGATGGAAAACATGGAGGTATTATTTAAACACTGGTGACAATATGACTCACTCAATCTTCCCAGAAATATACAATCCATGGTACCAAACATTCTCACTACTAGACCTTATTTCCTGATTTGTTGCCCAAATCTACAGTTTGTTTTGAGGAACCAACTGACTGCCATCAGCTTCTTTAACAGTACCTTATTCTGGCATTCAATTTACTGTACTAGCCTACAGTAGTATCGCTGGTCCCTATTTCTTTGTAAACAAAAACTAAAGGGATTTATGCTTTAGAATAATGAAAGATAAATCTCTGTATACCCAGTATCATTTCAAGTCAGAATAAAGACTGATATTCTTTAAAAGAATCATCCAGTCTGTCAACTCAGCGCAAGTGTGCAGTGCAGCACAGATTCTTATTCAAATGAAAAGCCAGCTTTTTAATTTTAACAAAATGAATCAATTGTGCAGAAAATGCTTTTGTACAGCAATAATCAGACATACTTTATATGCTTCAGATTTTTTTTGTAAAAAAGAAAGGAAGAACTAGTTCTGCCAGACTAAAGTCATGGCCATAAATATTGTTAGTGGTTTGTTTTGTTTTTTTTTTTTTTTTTTTTAATGGAATCAGTAAATCCATTAAGATAAATCCTTATTATATAGTATATGTGGACTTCCAAACACTTCATACAGTCCTTTGTCCTTTGAAGACAAAGGACAAAAAGCCTTTCCCCTCATTTGCAAGAAAATGATTTTGTCTTGGATGGAAAATGAAAGTCATTTTGTTTAAGGGTTAAGAAAACAGTGGCAGAAATTAATTATAAGGTTGCACAATGGAGTTTAGTGGTAGTCTCAAAGGAAGGCATCCTGGACCTCCATTGCAAATCTGCATACATATATATGTATGTAGATAGATACACACACACACACATATATGATCTGAAAAACTGTGCTAAGTGTTTCATAATGATCAAAAGTAAAACTTACTGCAAAGGACTTCAGAAAGATCTTACAAGACAACATAATACGGCAATAGAATTGCAGCTGATACTCAGTATGAATAAATATAAATTAATGCACAGAGGGAGAATAACCACTAAGAACATATACATAGGCACAAGTCCTAAGACACAACTAATGAAAATCAAAACCTAGATACTGTGGGAAGATAAGCTCTTTCCTTAGAAGCAAGGAGAAGTTTATAACATTAGAGAAATAAATAAAAGAACTGACCACAAAACAGAAAGCGTGTTTTATGACTTTCAGTCAAAAGAAAAAATAGTATATAGCAAAAAAAAAAAAAAAGAAAGAAAAGAAAAAGTTAGAGATCAGGCTGACAAGGAGGTATGGAAAACTTACATAAGATGCTCTAGAAGACCATATAGCCAAACGGTAAATGAGTTGGAACCTACTCTGGTAGAAAAAAAAATAATCTGGTTAAAATCAATAGTAATAAAACGAATCAGTTCCACCATAAGATGCACCATATGGTCATACAAGCACGGGTGCCAAAACAGGTGATAAGGCTGCATGGGGACAGGGATTAAATGAATGAGGGAATACTGTGCTTACACCTTTCAGAGACAGTGCTGGCTTTAAATGTTTGCCAAACAGCAGACTAAGAGACTGCAAAAATTCACCTCAGAAAAAAAGGCAGCAGAGGAGTTATATAAAGATGGCATGACAAAAAATTTATAACTGAGCTCCTACACACAACAGTGCAAAAATCATGAGTGCACAAATTTTTACTTCACTTAATTCTTAAAAAACTGGCGGGTACCAATTTATAATTACCTGACAATTCCTTCTGTACAACACAAGTCATTCTTCAGGCATCATGTTAATTAAAAAGTATTAGTTATGTTACTGAACTACTTATCAAATACAGAAAGCATTTATATACATTTTCTTCCAGTGACACAGCTTCTTTAAGGGACATGAAATTACTTTCCTAATTTGATCACCTCTGTGACCGAGAAAGAAAAATGGTTTCATTTTTTTTCTATTAAAATTTACCGTTACTGGTAAATCTTTTGATCTTTTGATCTACATCTTGCACTTCCACTTCTTTTCTCCCTTGCAAGATCACAGTAAGCGAAAACAGAAAAGGCAACTGTGAGAAATGAATGAAATAACAAACTGTAATGGACAACCTGAAATTTGTAATAGATACTATCAGCAAAATTCTTTCAAGTTCAAATGCTGACATCTTTCTTTTATCCTTCTTCTACACAGGTGTAGCTTACATTTAAAGTTCCATCCGTAACCAATTCAGTAGAATACATAAAGGTGCTAAAGCCTGAACATACTTGTGATGTCTACTAAAAGTTAGGAAAGTACTGACTTGTTCTTTCTTTCATTTATCACAGTGCTTTGTTTAGTTTCAGATAGTACTAACAACATGTTTTAGTATCATCCTCATCCTAGAACAGAGGAAACACAACATTTGAGTTTTTCCAAGGTCATTATGTCCCCAAAAACTTGAAAGAAAAAAACATCTTCAAAGAGGAAACATATGTTAGAAAGCAATTCATGATGAGCAATCATTAAAAAACACTGATCCTTACAGAAGCTGACAATTAATGACAGTTCTAAATTTAGAACTGAGTCTTGAAAACCATTTTCTCTGTAATGTTCCAGGGACATTTTGTTTCTTGAGAGAAAATAAACTTGTGACCCATTTACAACATAGCACATAACCTCATGGCTCTCAAAGAATATAAAATAAACACCACCCATTCTCCTTCAGGTTTTTATCTTCCCAACTTCATTAGAAAACTTGCCTCAAGTAAAAAAAGTTAATATCTGAGGTTTTTCAGCCTATGATGAATTATGTAACAGCTCAGGGAAACCCATATGGCAAAAGTTTCAGAGTTGAACCATAGTTAAATTTGAATCACCAGAGATCTCTTGAAATAAAATTAGTGAGAGAAAGACTATTAAGCATTTCAAAGGGCTATTTCTGCTTGGTATGATTCATGCTGAAAAACAACTAATTTTTTAATTAAATGAGGCCTAGCACAAAGCCAGACGACTTAGGTCACCATCCTGATGAAGAAAGGCTCCAGCTGGCTGACCTTGATGCACTATTAGCATCTAAGCAGAAAAGGGAGAAGGTGAGCCTATGCATACTACATGTCACAGTCACAATAGACCCATTATACATTAAGGCTCTATTATAAGGAAGGGTTTTTCATGTATTTCCAGAGTGGCTTAGAGCAAACAAATTTTTGTTGTTTAGATTGGTCTGGCAAGTCTTTAAAACCTGCTGTACCTGGGGACCCAGATGCAAGGGTTGGCTAATGCAGAAGAATGCCTGGATCAGCATTCAGAAGATCCAGTAGCAGAACAGTATGTGCAAAGCTATCACAAAAGAATTGGTTGACAGTAGGAACAGTATTGTTTATTTGGGATTCAGCAGACTTAAAACCCATTATATCTTGTGTCATGGTTTAAGCTTCATCCCTTCACCTTCTTACCAAGGGTTTCAGTCCAACATATAAAATTTTGGACATGGCTTCCACTTGTCTAGACAGAACTGCATAGTTCTAGACAAAGAATGCAGCATGATGTTTGAATTTACTCTCTTGGTGTAGTGCCACACCTTTACCTATGCCAGAGTCAGTCCCATGCCCTGCAGATCTTAGTCCTAAACAAGCTGCATACATGAGCTGAATAAACAAATTAAGAAAAAGCGATAGCAAAATGTTATAGGGTTGCTTTTTGTTTCCTATGAAATCCTTAACAGAATGTTTCAAGCTTCAGTCTGTCTACAGTGAAAACAACTAAAGGAAACCAAAGTGTATTTTCTTTTCCAGGGTCACATTCAAAAAAAAACCTCATAAAAATAAAAAAAATAAAAATAAAACAAATGAAAGAAAAAAGGACACCTCCCCCCCAAACGAGTAGGACTGTTACAGAGAATTCAGTGATAGAATCATGCTCGTTTGTCATTTTATATGAACAGTTTTCAGACAGTGCAAGTTATTATAAATGAACAATTTTTACTCTCCCTTGACCTGACCAGGGAGTTTATTTTAATTTCTGTTGAAAGGATAATTTGTATTAAAACATACAATCATTCTGTACATCACTTTAGCCTCTCCACCTCCTACTTTATGTTTCACACACCTACTCATACTGCCCCCTTCCTCTCAACCCCCCTCTTTTGAATGAAACACCCAGATCTTGAAATCTCTCTCAGAAATGCACACAAGAACATATTCCTTGGCAACATGACTCACTCCACTGTCTTAGCCTCATTAGTAAGCAAGGCAGATGCCCAGATACCAATGCTGTCTGTAGCACATACACTTTTATATAACATCTCATTATTTATATATAAATGTATAAAGCCTTGTCTTGGGAATACAGCATCAATTTTTGGCTGAACATTTAGTAAGATTCACTCATACAAGTATCTTGTTTATTCTAGTTCACTTTGTGGTTTTCTTCTTTAAATCTTGTCATGAATTATGCTTACTTAGAAGAAAGTAAACCCCCTTTGGGAAATTTCCCCCTGAATGCATTGCATATTCCAAAATGTCAATGGCAGAACCTCTTATGGTGCAGCAGTTGACAGCCTGCATACTTTAATCAAGCCAGAAAGTTTTAATTATACTGCTAGAGGCATCCTATTAACATTTATTTTCTATAATAAGGACTCTACAAGAAATTAATAAAATAGAAATAGGTCTAGCCTGCAGTTCTTTGGAAAGAAAGAGGAGGGCACTCCTATATTTCTTAAAACAGCCAAATCTGAACATTATCACCATAAAACAATCATAGAATTGTTTAGATTGGAAAAGATCTCTAAGATCACTGACTCCAACCATTAACTCAGCACTGCCAAGTCCACCGCTAAATCACATCCCTGAGTGCCACATACATGTCTTCTAATACCTTCAGGGATGGTGACTCTACCACTTCCCTGGGCAACCTGTTCCAGTGCTTGCCCTTTCTGTGAAGAGTTTTCTGAGCATCCAATCGAAACCTCTCCTGGCACAACTTGAGGCCATTTGCTCTTGTCCGATCACTTGTTACTTGGGAGGAGAGATCAATACCCACTTTGATATAATCTCCTTTCAGGTAGTGGTAGAGAACAATAAAGTCTCCCCTGAGCCTCCTTTTCTCCAGGCTAAACAAGTCCTCTGCCTTCAGCCACTCTCTCGACCCTTCACCAGCTTTGTTGATCTTCCTTGAACACACTCAGCACCTCAATGTCCTTCTTGGACCAAGGGGCCCAAAACTCAGTACAGTATTCAAGGTGAGGCCTCAACAGGGCTGAGCACTTCACTAGTCCTGCTCGCCACAGTATTTCTGATACAAGCCAGGATGATATTGGCCCTTTTGGGCAACTGGGCACACTGTTGTCCCATATTCAGCTGGCCAACACCCCTAGGTTCTTTTCTGCAAGGCAGCTTTCCAGTCACTCTTCCCCAGGCCTGTAACATTGCATGGGGTTGTTGTGATTCAGCCCAGCACATAGCCAGGCCTGGCCTTGGCCCATTGATCTAGCCTGTCCAATTTCTTCTGTAGAACCTTCCTTCTCTCAAGGAGATCAACATTCCCACCCAACTTGGTGTCATCTGCAAAGTTACTGAGGCTGCACTCAATCCCTTTGTCCAGATGATTGACAAAGATCTTAAACAGATCTGGACCCGATACTGAGCCCTGGGGAATACCACTTCTGACTGGCTGCCAACGGGATTTAACTCCATTCTCCACCACTCTTTGGGCTTGGTCATCCAGCCAGCTTTATGCCCAGCAAACAGTACACCCATCCAAGCCATGAGCAGCCAATTCTATAATTCGTTTTCTTTTACAGAAAAGAAAATAAAGCATTTTGATTGAAACTGCTAATTATGCTTTTGGATACTCTAACTGTTCTAACAATACCAGGACCTTTAAATAAAATTCTCCTCCCTACCTATTTCCCTTTTTTGTGTCTTCTGGCATTTAGTACTAGGAGCAGGTAGCCCCCATGCAGTTGAGAACTGTGCACCTGAACAAATACAGCTGTAAGCACAGCATGTGTCTTGCCCTATTTAAGCTCACCTTGAACAATGTCAAGGCAGGGGATTTTAGTTTGGGAAATGGAGCATCAAATACAAGGTCTCCTCAGATGTCTGCTTTGGGAAAGAAAGGCACTGTTACAAAATATCTGTTGGCCTTTGAAACAGATTAAACAAAAAAAGCATGAGGACTCTGCTGTCATATTTTGAGAGAGATTTCCTCCCCATTTTATAAGGGTAGCAAAATGTTTGCATAAATTTATTTTAGATTTAAATGTTATACTATCATTTAAGTCACAACTTCAGATCCTGTTGAATAATGTTTTTTGATATTTCATGAAATATATGGAATTAATGATCTACTTTTGATGACCTGTACCTTCAGGCCTGGGGTAATAATTTGCCTCGGTTTTTATTTTTTATTCAGGGATGAGCTCATTAACCACAGGGTTCCTGACTTCACTCCAAATCAGGTAGTTCTTTCTCTACAAATTCTCTTTAATCTTCTATTGGATACACTATTTCTCTCCCTGTCCTGAAAGTACTATTTATGTAGCATTATTGTTACAAGCATTCCCTTAATCTTTCTACGCCATAGGTGGCAGCACTGCCAGAGTGAGAAAAATAATCTATATGCCATCAGTAGTGGATGGGAAGTTACAGTCAGATGATAGATAGGACTATTAATATATGTCACTAGCAGAATAACGGGTGGTTTGGCTGAAACTACACTTAAATACAGCTCTATTCACAGACTTCTTGTTTGACTGAGCAAATAAATATAGCACATTTAAAATTGTATAATCACCCCAAAACAGGTAAGATACCACAGCTTGAAAAGGGACTTAAATTCCTGCCTAATAAATTAATTACATGGAATTTAAACTCCCAGATGCAAAGACATAACCTTGAAACTATGTCCTTGAACTATATAGACTAAGTAACATATAAACTGAAGAGGAAGTTCAGTGTAAAATTTCTTTAGACAGAAAGATCTCAGCTATTCTAAATTGTAAGAAATGATTAAGCCCTGGAAGACTTAAGTGTTACGTACCTCACTGTAGCTGGTAAACATAAGTATTCCTCTGCCTACTCTTCGAAAGGTCTTTTGCCAGTCAGTTTTAAAGCATGCTTCAAATTAATCCCCTCTTAAAAAAAAAAAAGAAAAAAAGAAAAAGAAAAAGAAAAAAGAAAAAACTCAGAGATTGTTTTCTTTTTCAAAATGACAAGAAAAAGAGTGATATTTTCCTTCCCCTTTTAGATGAAAATTTATTCACTGAACCAGTGACCATTCTGGTCATTCTTTTTACTTCTTTAAAGTGGTTTTCAAACCTAAGTATCTACCACCTAAAACAAAATGCACAGATGCAAAGACAGATAAGCTTTCAAGCTTCCTATAGAAGCTATGGTATTTTCCATATGAGAATTAAACAGCTACTTTTTGGGGGGCTAGGGAGAGAAGAAAGATTGAGTATTATTCTCTGGCCTATGAACTACAGCAGGCAATTGGGAAGATGGATTCCTAGGTTGACCTCCAGAATAAAACCACAAACATAACATATATCAGTTAGGCAGAAAACTGAGGGAAAGGGGATCTTTGTTTAAAAGTTGTCCATCTCCCTCCTATTTCTTTCTGTTCAAATGTAATCACTTCTCCAGCTTAGGCTGATTCCAGCAACAAGTACAGTACTGAGAGTGCAGTGACTGCTTATATAACAATGCATTTACAGCTGCTTCTATCTGGAACACAGGTGCCCCTTTGATATTTTTCTGGCTAGACAGACAGCATAATAATTTTCTGGAGAATCATCAACAGCCGTTTTTTAAAGAGAATTGTACATCTTCACTACCACTAATTATAGTAATCATCTTCTTCCATAACAAGCTCAGGGCTTGCGCCAGAGCAACTAATTTTGCTTTTACTCCCGACTCCAAATTACTATTACATTGTCCAACCTTCTCTCAATTAAAAACTGTCTAAATGTTTAGCCGGACTTAAAGCAGAGCAAGTAATAATATTTTCTTCAAGATACAGCTTGGTTTCTAGATGTAGCTTGTTAAGCAGCAATGGATTCAACTATGAAGCAGAATAAAGAACTACATTTTGAGGTGTTTCACAAGGGAGGAGGTGACACTTATATTGTACTATCATGTTTACAAAAAAAGTAATTGATTAAGTAGTACCTCAAAAACACTGGTTATGTCAGTGATGAATTTTGAAGTAGTCCTCAATACCAATTCAGTTTTGGTGAACAAAAAAGGAGTGAACAAGTTAGTTATGCTGGTTTAATAAGGCATCAAAATTTGTAGTAATTTATTTGAAACTAATGTTCATTAGGAAAGTATGATAACCAAAAAAATGAAACAATAACAGTAAAGTGATGATGGATATATTTTATAAAAATAATGAAATAATGACATTTTAACACTTTTGACATTTAGAAAATTCTCAAAGTGAAGTTATGATTGACCTTAAATTTAGTCATGACATTGAAAATTATAGTATATATAGGCATATATCAAAAGCTGGATACTATTCAAAGAAATTAAAATAACAATAATATAAAATATAGCATAATTATTATCTCAACTTCCTCATGCAATTTCCTGTCTTTTAAGAAGAAAGATAGTCTGTCCTGTATCATATCCAAAGTCTTTTCAGCTTAATTCTTTTCCATACTTTAGCAATTATAAATACCTTGTGATTTTAAAATTATTTGTACCTATGCAAATCAGACATTTTCAACTAGTACTGAATTTATTGTCTCTGCATAGAATATGACAAAAGGCTGAATTCTCTGTAGGCTCCTTGTGCTACATTTCTCTGTTAACTGGGCTAGGAATTTGATTTTTCTGCTCAGCATTTCTTAGACACACAGTGTTGAACTGATCTGGCTTAACTCAGACACCTAAATGCTAAATGCATAAGCCTGAGCCAGTCACTCCCAATCCCTTTAATAACTGAAGAGCAGGCATCTTTAACTGCTAATAATCACATCAGATAAACTGCATCTCTTCCCCTTCCCTCCTTCCCCCAACTCTTTACAAATAAAGGAATTATCCTTGAAAAATAAACATGTGATTGCCTTAAAATTATTAAAATTTTCCATTTTTCACTGTTGTGCACTGTTTTGTTCACAGTGCAAGTTGAGAAAGTGCAATGAGAGAGATTGTTGCATGATAGTGCAAGGTCTCTGTATACTTTATGTACCCTTCACTGTAAATGCCAAATGTCAAAAAGTTGAACTTACTAGCTTGTAATGGAACTTCAGTTGTCATTCTCTGTTTCTTCATAGCCTTAGTGTCCTTAGGTGTTCTTGAGAGATTAGGATAACCTTGAGAACAAAAGAAAAAGCAGAAGTAATTTATTGCAAGCAGTACAACTGCAGAGGGTATTATGTTGATAAGGGAATAGCCCTGGAACATGACAAAAGCAAATAAAGCAGGCAGCAATGTACTGCATGTTTAAGAAGAACTTACATAATAGGTAAGTACTGAGGACACAATTTAATATCCAGCATGGCAGCTTTTGATATGTTTTGTGGACATCAAAACCCCATTCTTGGAGATGAACCACTGCTTCTCAATCCTCCCTTTCCTCAATACAGACATACATACACATTTGTAAAAATTATCAAGAAGAACAAGCAGAAATAAATGAAATATACTTTTTTATATATTCTAAAGGGTTTATGTGTATAGGATGAATTTTAAGTAAGACAGGCAGCTCAAAGTATGCTTCAGTATATATATCATAGTTTAAAAATCATAGTTTAAAGAGACAACAGTTTAAAAGCAACATATTTTTAAGATAATTCTTCTAGTCATTAAAAAGGTAAGTATGAGAACAACATAAGTAGAGGTAAGTAGCTTAAAAAACATTCAGAAAACAATTTCCCATGAATTTTATGAAGTTATAGAGTTAAAGGGGGAAAAGATAAACGTGGTAGCTTAAAGTTTTGCTCTGGGAACGATTCTTTTCTTTTTTCATGCCCCACTTGAACGTATTTCAGATCCTTCAAAACTGCAGCATGACATTTGTAGATGCTCATGTAGCTAATGGACAAATGGGGTCTTAGTTCATTGAAAGTTAAGTAAGCAGGAATTAACAGGGGATCATGAACTCTGATAATTTTTATCTTTTTACTCAAAGATCAGATCTTCTATTGCCTCTGGCTGTTTCATTAAGGTATCATGGTCTCTGACCTGTCAAATATTTTGATAACCAGGGAAACAAGAATGTTTGCCCTGTGTTCCCACAGCCAAAGAGCCAGGAGTGAAGAAATCAGTTTTCCAGGATCTTGTATACAGGAAGTTATATTTCTTCTGTAGCTATCCCACACCTATTTGGAATTCAGTCTGGTTTATCCCATATTATAAACTGGTATTCTCAAACCCACAGTTAGGTTACTAACATTTCCCAGAAGGTAAGAATGAAATCTTTGATCCTTGGAATAGCAAAATCTTTGCTCCACTTGACAAAGATTTGGTTTCTATCTCCTGAGGAGTAAGAATTTCAAAACATTTTCATATCCCTGTTTCTATTACTCAAATTAGAATAATAGAATACTTAGGGTTAGAAAGGACCTTAAGATCATCTAGTTCCAACACCCCTGCCATGGGCAGGGAAGCCTCACATTAAACCATCTCATCCAAGGCTCTGTCCAACCTGGACTTGAACACCACCAGGGATGGAGCATTCACAACCTCCCTGGGCAAGCCATTCCAGTGCCTCACCACCCTTACAGGAAATAATTTCCTCCTTATATCCAATCTAAACTTCCCCTGTTTAAGTTTTAACCCGTTACCCCTTGTGCTGTCACTATAGTCCCTAATGAAGAGTCCCTCCCCAGAATCCCTATAGGCCCCCCTTCAGATACTGGAAGGCTGCTATGATGTCTCCATGCAGCCTTCTCTTCTCCAGGCTGAGCATCACTAACTTCTTCAGCCTATCTTCATATGGGAGGTGCTCCAGTCCCCTGATCGTCCTCGTGGCCCATCTCTGGACTTGTTCCAACAGTTCCATGTTCTTTTTATGTTGAGGACACCAGAACTGAACACAATACTCCAAGTGAGGTCTCACAAGAGCAGAGTAGAGGGGCAGGATCACCTCCTTTGACCTGCTGGTCATCCTCCTTTTGATGCAGCCCAGGATACGGTTGGCTTTCTGGGCTGCAAGTACACACTGAAGCCGGCTCATGTTCAGTTTCTCATTGACCAGCATCACCAAGTCCTACTCATCAGGTCTGCTCTGAATCTCTTCTCTACCCAGCCTGTAGCTGTGCCTGGGATTGCTCTGACCCAGGTGTAGGACCTTGCACTTGGCATGGTTAAACTTCATGAGGTTGGCATCAGCCCACCTCACAAGCTTGTTGAGGTCCCTCTGGATGGCATTCCTTCCCTCCAGTGTACCAACCGAACCACACAGCTTGCTGTCATCAGCAAATTTGTTGAGGGCGCACTCAATCCCACTGTCTATGTCAGCAACAAAGATGTTGAACAAGACCGGTCCCAACACCAATACCTGAGGGACACAACTTGTTACTGGTCTCCAGCTGGATGTTGAGTCATTGACCACAACTCTTTGAGTGCGGCCATCCAGCCAGTTCTTTATCCACCGAGTGGTCCATCCATCAAATTGATGTCTCTCCAATTTAGAGACAAGGATGTCGTGTGGGACAGTGTTGAACGCTTTGCAGATGTCCAGGTAGATGACATCAACAGCTCTACCTCTCTCCATCAGTTCTGTAGCCCCATCATAGAAGGCCACCAAATTGGTCAGGCAGGATTTCCCCTTAGTGAAGCCATGCTGGCTGTCACCAAGCACCTTGTTGCTTTTCATGTGCCTTAGCATGCCTTCCAGGAGAAATTGTCCTTTCTGATTTATTTTTTTTTTTATATTAATGTTGCCTTCTGAAACTGAGTTCAGCTTTTAAATCAGAGTAAAATCACTTTTTAAACTTTCCATTATGTATTTAACAAATACAGACTGTTCTCTTCAGATATTCATATTATTTCTCTCTAGTGAATCTAATGCAGATTTGTACAGTATATAGTTATTGCTGTCCATGTTCCTCCCTTAATTATGGGGAAGTTTTCTTGCAATACATAAATCAACAGTTTAAAAACTTCATTGCTAAAGAGTTGCTACAAGGCACTAATATACAAAACATTCAGTGCATATAGTACATAAGAAAAAAAATATTGTTTTTCTCTCCTATTCTCTAATGTAATTCATTATGTAAATCTTTACTGTATGTCTATTGATTTCCAGGTACAAGAAGACTGAATCTTTATTTTCTCTTTTTCTTAACACGAAAGCTTTTTTATCCACCTTATGAGAGTTTTTGGCTGCAATCCACATACTAACTTGGATGTAGGGACACTCTAGAAGCCTTTCATGTGGCTGGTTGAAGAGTAGAATATTCACTGAAACCGAAGAAATGTAACACGCCTGCACTGCAGTTTTCCCTGTTTTGGTACTGTTGGGCTTTTAGCTGTATTGCTGCTTGTTTTTGCAGATTGTTTGCAGTGAGGGTGTATGTGTTATTTTTGAGGCTTGAGATATTGAGGGGAAGGGACATGGAGCCCGGGAAACTACTGCTGAAAACACAAAAAACTTGAACTTATCTGTTTAATTCGTCTTTCTGCTGAGGTGAAAAGGCTGGCTCTCTTTTTAAATTATTATTTTGGCAGGTGTACTGTGTCTTAAGCAATTTTCTTCATTCCAGTCAAACATATTTCCATACTCAAATCTCTGTGTAAGAAAGCTCATGTTGAACAAATTGTGGCTATTGGTATTTATATTCTACACACAGTAAGAGCACCCACACTATCTACCTAGCTCATTACTGAATATTGCTTTAGAATGCCTTCAATATGAAAGGTATTATTACAGTATCAAATTCTACTCTAGTCTGCATTTCAAATTCTTGATTAAAACAGTATTTTGGGCTAACAGGTTCTCTATTAACATCTCACCTATATATTTTACCCGAATAACTCTAAATAATTGGTTACAGCTAAGGAAGTTTAAGGCTGCTTAGAATAATAGTCTGCTGCTACTGCTTCAAATAAGATGTTTATTACAACACTGGATTCGGTATTATAAAATGTTATATTCAATCAACTACTGCCAGTATAGAAGCACCTAAACTTCTGTGGTGAAGGAGGGCTATAAGACTGGGGCTAGCATCATAAACTGGTATTGTAAGCATGCAATCTTTGAACATAAAAGTAAACAGTAGATTGGCAATCAATTTTTTCATCCATAACAGAATGAAATAAATTAGTGGTTACACTAAATAATACTTACTTTGCAGTAAGTAATATATCTACTTACAGTTGCAAGAGTATGGACAGTATCAGGATCTCCTTTTTTACTTTTCAGAATTTAATCAGATGCACAGCCTTAACATACATGTCCCCATAAAGTCAATTACAAAGATGTATTTAAAAGAAATTAAAACAAGACACAGAAAACCAAGGTTTGTTTCTGCATCATTTTGCTTGGCTTAACATAATTTGCTAGCATTTTGTGGACTAACAGCAACCAAGTACTCTGAAGGAAACAGTGTCAGAATGTGCATTTGTTGTGATCCCTTGTTAAAAACCAAACTTCAAGTCTAGAACCCCTGAAACCATGAACACCTCTGTATCCCAACCCTAAAGAACAAGCTGGGCTTGTTAAGCCTGGAAGACCGTGCTGTTGGGAGACCCCCTTGTGAGGAAGAGATGTGGGAAGCCTCCCTGTGCCATTACCCCAGGCTATGGAGCCAGTTTTACCTCAGGCCCTCACCTTCCCAGCAGCATTCCATTGTGCCACCCCCTGTAGGGCTTCTCTTTCTACCTCTGCTGCACTGGGCTTGCCTCCCCTCAAGGCATTAGAGGAGACAGGCTATTGGCCCAGGCTGTATGGGCCAGTGCAAGGTCTGTGCCCTCTAATGGCGCCTGATTCATGGGCCATATTCTGCCATGAAGCGCCTCCTACATGCAAAAGGTGGCCCCACTATCACAGGACAACACAAAGCCTTTTATTTCCAGGTGAAACCAAATCGCTGGTACAGCCCAGGCACTGGGATGCACCTCACAGAATTCCTTTCCTCTGCATATGTGTAGCTGCAAGAAAATAGGGCAATTGTAGAGTAGTATTTGCTAGCTTCTAGTGAGTTGTGGCTCAAGAATTCCTTCAATCATAGAATCATAGACTCATAGAACAGTTAGGGTTGGAAAGCACCTTAAGATTGTCAAGTTCCAACCCGCCTGCCATGGGCAGGGACACCTCACACTAACTCATGTCACTCAAGGCTCCGTCCAACCTGGCCTTGAACACTGCCAGGGATGGAGCATTCACAGCTTCCCTGGGCAACCCATTCCAGTGTCTCACCACACTCACATTAAAGAGCTTAAAGAGCCTAACTTAAAATTCCCCTGTTTAAATACCTCAATTACATTTAAGATTGGATCTTCTTCATAAACAAAGGGGCCTACATCCTAAAAAACAGAAGTATAAAAGCACTAAATTTGAAAGGTTTAATGCTCAATACAGCAGTGAGCATGTTGAGACAAAGACAGCTTCAGAAGTAATTTAAGGACCTAGGTCAGGCCTAGTTGCGATCAGGTTATGTTGATCCATTAAGCAATTTAAATATGCATGGAAACTGCTTTATCAAAGTACTTTCCTGACATCCTTACACACAGGGAAGTATCTTTCTACTATTCATATAGTCGATTTCCAAATCAAATCAAAGGTTCATTCTAAAAATCAAATATGTGAATTTTAAAGGAGACTCCTTTTCTTCTCCAAAACAGGTCCCCCAAGGAAAGAATTACAAAACCTGCAGGCAGATTTGCAGGGACAGCTGATGGCCAAGAAATTGCAGCCCTGGGGATGGTCAATAGTGGTAAGATCATGGAATTGCAACTGCACGGGTAAATGTCAGATACCTCAGGAGCAGACCTAGAGAAAGAAAATGAGACATGCATTTAGCCTTGTAACATAACTTGTTCTAGTGACCTTAGAAACTAGAAGTTAGTAGGAATACATCAGAAACATTTTCATCTGCATCTGAAAAAAAACAAACACTGATGCTTGAAAAACTGTCATAATATGCTAAAATTAATCCTTACATATCTTGGATGATATTTACATTTTTAGGAGACTTTTTGAATTAATTACACATTTTTATAAGTTCATAGCCTCTGGAGAACTGCATAATTTTTTTTTTCGCTGCATATCTATGGCAAGGAGAATGGTTTGTTTCAGGGTTAACTGAGTAGTTTACAGAAAGTAGGGGAAAGAAACTGAGGTGCAAGATTTGTATTTAATAATAGTAAAAGTTATCCATGAAAGTCATAGCTTTCAGTGAAGTACAAACAATAAAACCAATTAGGATACAGCCAGAAAGGAAATTCTGATTTTAAAAAAGTGTGATCTATTCTGTCACTTGTTTCTTCCATGATAAATAAAAAGTTTGAAATCATGGTTTCCACCAGGATAGCCAAGTAACTCTAGGCTATAATGTTTCTTTTATCAATGTATAGAGCAAGATACTTTAAATGCTGAAGACAAAAAAAGCTTGTGAAATTTTTTACAAACTCAGCCTCAGTTCTGATGACCTTGCTCTAAGCACCTCACAGACTTTGAAATGGAGAACACAAGTTAAAAGGAACTATTAAAAAGCTGAGTCTGTTGAGGTTCAAAGTTTAAAAATTTGTACCTTTCAATGCAAGATAAAACTTTGAAATTTACTTGGTTTTGCATTATATCGCCACTCATTCACAGTAATGGATTTTCTAGCAGAGACCTTCACGAAGTGAATTGAATCAGAAGCAAGCAAAATATGTGCAAAACTGTAATTCAGACCAAATAAATCTACTTTATCTTTCATTTTCAAATGCTAAGAAATTTTTCACCTCTCCCTAACTCCTTAAGTACAGCATAGCAGCTAAAATCCCAATGACTGGTCTTCCCCCAAGCAGGCACTGAGTCTTGCACCAATCTTGCTCTGAGTTTTCACTGAGTCTTGGTTCCAACTTGGTCTGAATTAAAATCCAGTGTAGTTGTGTACTGAAGGAAGCAAGACCAGCTGCTCATTGTGCATCCTACATATAAAATATACTGAAAGGCAGGATCAAAGGAATCAGGGTTACTGCAGTAAGAAAGCTGGGAGGAACTAAGAGTGAAATGTGGAGATGAAGGGGGATGCGTTATGACCTGAAGCCAGCAGGAAAGGAAGAATGATACATAGTGCATAAGCCTCCAAGGAGATTATAATCAAATAGTAAGAAGAAAAGACAAATTGATGGGCTGACCACAACCTGAACAACGAGTCTACAAAGGAGTCAAGAAGCCATAGAAAGAAAGCCTGTAACTATGTAGGTAAAGAAAATGAAGCAAGACAAGCTGAGGTAGATATTAATCTAGTATTGGAATAATAAGGACAAAGCAGACAAGAAGATTGGCAAGGGCAAGCAGTAAAGTCTTGGGCTGTGAGAGGAAACTCTGGAGTCCTCACGGAGGCTGAGATTTGGCACTTATGGTTCTGACAGCTAGGATAGGAAAAAAACATCAGCCATGCTGATCCTTCATTGCATTTAGTGCTAATGAACACCAACCATAGCTATTACTGCTGTCAGTAACTCAAGTTCGTAACTCAGACATCTATTGGGCAAATTTAATGGGTCCCCTACATGCTCATCTTATAAGATAAAATTAATAAACTATAGTTTTAGTGCAAGTTCTATGTGTACATGTGATTTTAGTAAATGTCTCGTTTCTGTCTTCAGCAACATAAATTGCTGGAAACAAAGTGAAAGTAAACATGCTTGAATATGTGGTTTTCAGTTTTTGCATAGCCTGCTGTTTCATGCTGAACCTTAACTTAATGGAAAGCCTAGGTAAAACCACAGAAATAGAAGGACTGTATTTAATTCCTTGACAAAACATCAATTTGAAACCTCAAATGAAAAAGACACATTCACAGCAGGAGATATAGAACAGTAATCTTGGAGATAACTATGTGAATGTGCTACAACAGTCTGTAACTAATTTCCTGTTTGTCCATAGGATTATCCCTGTGTCAGTGGACCCTCAGAGCTAAGCCTACAGCTGATGAAATCACTTTGCTATGAAACTTACCTCCTAGATCACACTGAGGAACACACCTGGGTAACCTGGGATAGACCCTATGTGGTGTATCATGACACGGACTCAAGTTGATGAGGAGACTCAAATCCAACTTTATTACAATCAAGCCCTTTTTATCCCCTTGTTCAGTACTTTCCCAACTTGTGCAAGCATACCATGTTCAATCTCATTGGCCCCAGTAAAAATCCTCAGGTAAATAATCCAATCACAACGCTTAGTACCCATTGTCCAGACAGCAACAGTTTCACCCCGCCGTCTCAGACCCTCTCGCAACCCCCACAACATCTGGCTCCAACTGAGACTCCCCACACAGCAACATCATGGCCCACCCCTTCAAGGCTTGTTTTTTGACCTTTCCTGTCCTTCAATGTTCCAAATTATCTTCCCAGAGCTTGTTAAGCATTAAGGCCTCAGAGCTCATTCCCAAACTGTTTTTCATGCAAATTTTATCACCTTCACTCCCCACAACCCTACATTTTAGAATGCAGTCAAGAGTCAAGTTTCTTCTGTCTGGCCTTGCAGTCTCCTTTGTGATGCCATTTTACGTTTGTTATCAGAGACAAGACTGCAACCCCCTTGCGCTGACAGGCAGCCCAATAACACATATCACAAGAGTAAATCGGATGGGTAAGATGCCTTCACTGAAGCTAAGTTCAAGGTGATTCAAAACAATATGAATGCAAGAAATTGAGTAAGATCTATTTCAGGTTAAACACTTATAATCACTCCTTCAAAACCAGATTGCATTATTTTTTCTCACCTAATGAATGATCCCTAATCTCTTAAAACTTCAAAACCATTTGAAGTCTATCAAAGAGTGTTTTGTCCTAATCTGTATTAGTCTTGTGATTGACATATATGATGCAGGCATTAGGAACAAAACTATTATGAAGTACCAATATCAACCTGGTTTGAGTGAACTCTGAAAAGGGAACAGCTGACAACTACACTGTGCAAAAATGAGCTAGGCAACAACTGTATTGCTACAGACTTCTGAGATTTCAGGGTATTCCCACCATATATTGCAACAAACTAAAGCACTCTCAAAGCTTTTCATGACAAAGGAAAGAGGGGTGAGGAGGGAAAAAGACCAAAGCTACCTCTATACCTATTATTTGGATGCTCAGAATCAATCTTATCCTGAATCAGAAGTTACCTTAAGGACATGAAAAGGGATCTTTGGAGGAAAAAAAAAAAAATCAAAGAAAGAAAAAGAAAGAACATGTATCCTAGTAGAATTTTTCATGTTTTATAAGTTTTTTATGTGTCTTGATGAAAAAATAAGTATAATGAGAAAATTCCTGCTCACCTCTAAGAGAAAATA